TGCTCTAGTTGAAAAAAAAAATCATCAGTAGTGGAGCTGTTGCACCATGTGTATACAATAAGCCGAAGTTTCTTGCTGATGCCGATGTTGTTTAAGAAAACGTAACACATCGTAATGCACCTTTCTATAGTTTTTAAAAGATTGTTATTTTCAATAATTGGTAGAGCAGGGCACAGGAGTCACTAAGGAAGCCGTCCTAAAATTATTTTTAAGTAAGAAGGCCCTGGAGCTCAGCCATTATCCTGTATTTGTTATGATATAGCTGGACATTTTTTCACATCAGCGCGAGATCTTATTATACTTACTTCGAGGTCACATGATATCTAACAATAAAACTTGTTTCCGCCAAAATTCCATGCTATTACTAAGACCCGAGACGGGAGGTAAATTTTCACCGCTCAGTTCTCCTTCAATTTCCACCACGTTGCTCTAGTTGAAAAAAAAAATCATCAGTAGTGGAGCTGTTGCACCATGTGTATACAATAAGCCGAAGTTTCTTGCTGATGCCGATGTTGTTTAAGAAAACGTAACACATCGTAATGCACCTTTCTATAGTTTTTAAAAGATTGTTATTTTCAATAATTGGTAGAGCAGGGCACAGGAGTCACTAAGGAAGCCGTCCTAAAATTATTTTTAAGTAAGAAGGCCCTGGAGCTCAGCCATTATCCTGTATTTGTTATGATATAGCTGGACATTTTTTCACATCAGCGCGAGATCTTATTATACTTACTTCGAGGTCACATGATATCTAACAATAAAACTTGTTCCCGCCAAAATCTCTGAGCGGGTAACACTGCAAAATCTATGACGTCGGGGCAAATGTTGACCGCTCGCGAGATTTATTTTCATAAATTTGTACACGAAAAAGTTTCTTTGTGGGCTATATGACAAATCACTCAAAGACTGGTCCCTTGGGAAACAAAATTTAGCTGTTTCCTTCGGGACCAGTCATTTATTGTTTAAAATATTTCATAAGGACACTGGGCCGCGCTGGCTCTTCAATCAACATTTCTCTAATAATCAACGATAATTCTTTAAAATCGATGCAAGTATTTCTAAAGCCAGGCCTAGGCTCGATTACCAGCCGCTGTTCGGGAAAATGAGCCCACACTCATCTCCCTAAAGAGCGGCTGGACGTGTGCGATTTCCTTTGTTGGTCTAAGCCAATCATGTTACCGCCTGCAGATTTTCGTCTGACAAAGATTGTCGCCTAAATTATCACATCAAAACAGAAAGTGCTTCCTTCCCTGCTTCCTTGATCCATTGCATGGCGAGGAGATTTCGGCGGCGCGGAGACACTAGGCGAAATTCTAGAGTCCGAAGGAACACATCGTTTTGTTCGATTGTTTGTTGTGAATGATTGTGGTTGGAGAGATTTTGCATCTTCAAGGATCTTTTCAAGGCGCTTTAGGTCTCGATAACTGCGTTCGTTATAGATTTAGCCGTCCACGTTATAGTTGACAGAGGAACGTTCAATACGCTGGAAATTTTATCTGGTAAATCAGAAACTTTTCCATTTAATTTGGTCCGCTTCCGAGAATCAGTCAGTTCGGACCCACAGAAGACGCAACCAATATTCGTAGATCGAAGAAAATTAACTACCTGTCGCCGTGTACAGAAATGTACCGAAGAATATCTTTTCAAAATGTAGGGAAATGTACCGAAAAAACTATTTCGAATGTCATTTGGGTGGGTAAGGGAACGCTTGATGCAATTTTGAGCCAAATAAATAAGAAAATTGGAGACCGGTTACACTTTCAGTCACATCGGAGACGCCTGAATTATCAATTTTCCAATTACGTTACAGACAAGGTCAACGTGTCACGCGTCCAGTAGCCTGCGAGCAAGCTCTCCTATTTGGGCGAGCCTCGCAAGAACGGACGAGCGAGGGGCCGAGAAAAGGAGATTGCAACGATCTCTCATAAATTTTCATTTCCACCCCGGAAACCCCGAGACTCTGCAAAGCGTGAAAACTGTCACCGCAAACGTGCCGCAGATTAGAAAAGTGACAACCGCCCGTCAAATTTAGACAGCCGAGGGCGCGTATAATCATTTTAAAATTTATAGATCGCTTTTGCAACAGCATCAAAGCAATATTTTTAATCACTGATGTGTTTTTTTTTTTCCACGGGGACATCGAACTTCAACGTGTCCGCTCGGATGAGAACTTAATACTTTGATTCTCGTTTCGTTTACTTCACTTGAAAAGTCGTCCATACTGCAGTGTAGAAGACCGACTCCCCGTCGCAATCACCAAGAAAAACATTATATGTTTTTCCTTTCCGGAACTGGAGAATAG